CACCGCGCCTGGCCGCAACACTTGTATACCAATGGAAAACTAGAAGTATCAGAAAATAAAAAGAAGATGTAAAAAGAAACAACATGAACATATTAGGACCAAAAAATACAATAACTGACATACAAAATTCTAGGTAAGCTTTTTATTACAATAAAATTAAAGAGGTAAGAATCTGTTATTGTGAATATAAATCAACAGAAATTATCTAATCTTAACAACAGCTCTCTATTGAGAGAGAATATGAAGATGATGAGAATATGAAGAAAGATGAAAAAGTCTTGATTAGAGTCTTAGAGACCTGAGGAACAATAACTAAAGTTCCAACATACATGTCATCTGAGTCTCAGAAGGAGAAGAGGAAAAGGAGCACAGTGCTGAAAAAATTTTGAAAACCTAGCAGGAAAAATTACCCAAATTGGGCAAAAGGCAAACATTAATTGAAGTAAAAGGAGAAATCAACAAATGTACAATTATGATTGGATAATTCAACACTCCTTTCTCACTAATAATTAGTGAACATTTGAAATTAATTGATGGTAAGTTTGATTAAATCTGAGATTTTTTAGCAGTATTGTTTATCACACAGAGTTACAGATCATTTCTATATAGCAGACAAAACTGCATTTTGATCCATATGTAATAGTTCCTCGCACAAAATGTTGAGTTAATGCCAGTCAGAATGTCTCTCTTCTTCCAGTACAGGGAATACAAAATAATGGCAAGACCTAAGCTCATGTATGCAGTGATGCACTGAATACCTTAAATAATAGGACATGAGATTACAAGAACAATGCAATCACTACGAATGAGAAAATTATGTAAAAGCTCAGGTTCATGTGCTGAGGAGGCTTCTGAGAAGTCTTGAAGGATAAGTGGTCAATGGTCAATTCAGCTATTACTGGGTTAGACTATTCATTGTCTTACTGCCTTAACTCTCATCAAAAAAGGCTGCTCTGCCAGCTTTTTTACTGTGGGACACTGATTAACAACACCCCAGCTAGAAAATTCTTCCTAATGTCTGTCCTGAATCTCTCCTGATCCAACAAGCAAGGGTATACAAAAACTTATCAACTCCATCATCAATTACAAAAAAACATTAAGTCGTCATAATCATAGTATATGATTTAAGGATTTACTACAATACAATGGTAGTCAAGCCATCAGAGGATGGAGGAACCTCAGTTTCACCATCTGGTTTTTCCTCTTTGTTCCCTTTAGGTTAGTCTCAGCCAAAAGACCCAACACTAATCACAATGCTTTGTCCATTTCAGTAGGCAAAATTCCTTACAACAACAAATAAAATAATTCCTAAGCATTTATTTCATAAAATAAATTAGGTATTTTGGCCTCACAAAAATAAGAGGTAGAGTCTACTCTAAACACTGTTTTGTGTATCATTTTCATAAATTTCAAATTAGAATGTACAAGTTTATCATATGTCTTCCATTTGTTAGGTATAGTGTTAGTAACATTTATAAAATCATTTTCTTTCTCCTGTACTTATTTGACATAAAATGTATCATTCTCTGAGAATATAAGATGAAGTCATTCCACAGAAGACTTACTTATATTCAGAGTTATTTCTGTGTAACAGTACTCCATAAATTCCCTTTGAGGGCCTTATTCCATTCAACAAGAAGAATGCCTCGATGGTAGGCAAAATTGTATGTAAGTTAACAGTATGAAATGTGAATCAAGCTCTGCCATTGAATTATCACGTGAACCTGGAACAACGTAACCTCTCCCTGCCTTAGTTTCTCTATTTATATAATGGTAATTGTAATAAAAGTATATTTCAAGGGCTTTTGCAAGCACTATATGAACCAACAGATCTAACACATTTAGAACAGTAACTTGATATTTTAGGCACCATGTAAGTTACCGTTATAATCTGCAATTGTATCTACCCAAAAGCTAGAATCCCTCTTCTTGGCCCCCACATTCCTATGACATGTCTATAAATATCTTGTAAATATATGTGTTCATTTTATGCATGCATTTACTTGTATTCTGAATGCCTTTACATGTGCCAGCCATTGTCTAGGTGTTGGAGAAGCTAAGATTGACTTGAAGGAGAGATATTTACCTCAAAGAGATACCTGTAATGGGTGTAATTTGCAGACAGGGAGAACCTTGTGTCAAAGAGAGTAATTAGAAAACTTCATTTTGAATATAAAAAGAAAAAACTTTTCTGAGTTCATGTAAGAATTATTGATATCGACAATAAAGAGCATATGCTAATATTTATATTTCCTAACTATTCTACATACATATATTTATGTAGATTCCAGCTAACAACTGCGCCTTGGTTCTACTATGACATGTTGCTGAAAGCATTGGTTATATAAGTTCATGTTATATGCAATGTTTGCATGAGATAAAACTTTAAGACGAAAAAATCTGCTCCAAAAAGTGCCTTGGTCTTCGTAGCTTATTCAAGACATTTATTTTATATTCTGCAGACTGTGGAACATCTGTTTATTAATGCAGCTTTATGATATGTTGTAAATTGCCCTAACATAAAATATGAAATTGCACATTCGAGCCCAGATTTTCTTTTCATCCCCTTGTGTTCAGCTTGGCAAAAGGCTGATACTGCCAAAAAAGAGAAAGAAAACTTTGTTCAAAATTGAAGTTAATACTTTCTTGGAGAAACTACTACTAACTAAAGGCAAATACTTGATGAGACTATTTTAATGTCTCTATTGTCCTCATTATGTAGGATATAATTTCTTACTTTAACATATTATGATTTTATTTCAAAGCCATTTTGACTGAATGACTTTCAAGGTTATTTTGCAAATCATAATAATTTAAATACTTAAGGAAGCCAGTCAAAAATGTGAAATTAATTGATGATAAGTTTGATTAATTCTGAGACTTTTTAGCTGTATTATTTGTCACACAGAAGAGGATTATTTCTATTTAGCAGACAAAAATGCATTCTGAGCCATATGTAAGTGTCCATCATACAAAACGTTGATTTAATGCCAGTCAGAATGTCTCTCTTCAAGTACAGGTATAACAAAATAAGGGCAAGAGCAAAGATCATGTGCGCAGTGATGCACTAAATACCTTGAATAATAACAGATGAGGCCGGACACGGTGGCTCACACCTGTATTCCCAGCACTTTGAGAGGCCGAGGCAGGCAGATCATGAAGTCAGGAGATCGAGATCATCCTGGCCAATGTGGTGAAACCCATCTCTACTAAAAATACAAAAATTAGCTAGGCGTGGTGGCACGCACTTGTAATCCCAGCTACTTGGGAGGCTGAGGTAGGAGAATCGCTTGAACCCGGGAGGCGGAGGTTGCAGTGAGCCGAGATTGTGCCACTGCACTCCAGCCTGGGTGACAGAGTAAGACTCCATGTAAAATAATATTACTACTAATAATAACACATGAGATGGCAGGCACAATGCAGTCTATGAATGAGAAAATTATGTAAGAGCTGAAGTCCATGTGCTGAGGAAGTCTCTGAGAAGCCTTGAAAGATATTTGGTCAATTCAGCTATTACTGGGTTAGACTATTCACTGTCTTACTGCTTTAACTCTCATAAAAAAAAAAAAAAGGTTGCTCTGCAGGCTTTTTTACTATGGGAAAGTGATTAACAACACCCGAGCTAGAAAATTCTTCCTACTGTCTGTCCTGAATCTCTCCTGATCTAACATGTATATTCCTAGTTCCCTCAATGGAAACAAAGAATTGCTTAAAAGGGAAATTATGGTTTTTGTTTCTGCAACAAAACAGGAGATAATGTGCCCTATTTTGTAAAACAAATTATTTCATCGAAAACTCTTTTTGAAACTTCTACTCTGAGCTATGTTGTTTAGTGACCTCAAGCACCAATACATAGACATTTCCCCCATTCCCTACCACTAATAATAGCATTAATTCAAATGTCATTTTGTCTTTAAAAGCAAATATATGCTGAAATTAAACCCACTTCTTTGTAGATCTTCTGACTATAAAATTCTGGCTAAGTTGATTCATTTATTCTCTGCCTCTTTCCTTCCCTGCCTCCCTTAATTCCAGCTGTATTGCCAAGCCCTGCAAAGGTGCTTTCCCAGCCTTCTGAGTTCTCCTGAGTTGCAGCAAGGATGGGCCAGACTCAGGGCAGGTACTGCCGAATGACAGTGAGCCCTGCTTTCTGGGGGCTCCCTGTTTAATTAGGTGAGGCTGACTTTAGTCACATTATCACACCAGGGAACTGAGGCTCTCAGTCCGATGGAAAATAGCAGGAGTCCACAAGATGGTTATGTAAAGAGGCAGGACTGAAGGGTGAGGGAAGGCTGCCCTGAGATTTAACTGTTGAGCCTTGCAAGACGGGACAAGGACAGGATCAGCATAAAGAGGTGGGTGGAAGGGGGTGGGTAGAGAATTCTAAACCAAGGTCAACAGAGTAGTTTTTGTGAAGAGAGGAAGCCGGGAGTGAATGAACAACTGAAAGAGGGCATGCTAAGCAAGGGAGAGGAACAATGCCTGGCCCCACACTGGAGAGCACAGTGAACCACATTCCACTGAGTCACTCGCGTAGGTGTCTCTAAGCTAGGAGATGTGTACTAATTCCTAACAGGCAAGAATTTAGGCCGGCGTTGGCCATCAGAGAGGATGAAAGAAAAAATTTGTCTTATTTATGGGGCTAGCATAAGAGGAAGCTAGAGCTTTACTAAATGTGAAAATTTAAATTGATGTATATTCTAAATCCTGAATACCCAGCGACAAACTGATGTTCCAATATCTGTTTATACAAGGTGTGTGTTATCATTACACTGGCAAATTGGATGATATGTTTGCTTTATTTGAAATCACTAAGTTTTGTATTATGGTGATATACTCATACTGCTTTTTTATCAACTCAGAAAATCCATTATACAAAATCCATTTTTTATGGCCATCTAAATCCTTTATTCAATACCATCAGCCTGGGACATGTTTATGTCTTTCTGCTAGACATACCACCCAGACTTGAAATGCATAGGACACTAAGCATACAGTGGTAGCAGCACGTTTTTCTTTAATAAAAAGACATTATTTTTGGAGGCAGTTTTACATTTACAAGAAAATCGAGCAGACAATACAAAGAGTTCCTTAAACCCTCCCTAGCTCATCATGCCTATTAGTAAGATATCTTGCATTCCTATGGTATATTTGTTACAATTAATGAGCCAATATTGATACATTATTCTTATTAACTAAAATTAACAGTTTCATTAAGGTGCACTGTTTGTGTTGTACATTCTATGGGTTTTAAAAATGTGTAATGTAATATATCCACCATGACATTTTACAGAATGGTTTCACTGCCCTGAAAATCCCCTGTGGTCCACCTATTAATCCCTCCTCCTCCCTGCAAATCCCTGGCAACAACTGTACTTTTCGTTGTCTCCATAGTTCTGCCTTTTAAAGAATGTCATATAGTTCGGCTTACACAGTATGTAGTCTTTTCAGACTGGCTTCTTTCTCTTAGTGATGGGCATTTAAGGTTTTGTTTTGGTTTTTTTTCCATGTCTTCTCATAGTTAAATAGCACGTACCTTTTTATCACTTAATATTCTATTGTATGAGTGTACCAGAGTTTGTTTATCCATTCACTTACTGAAGTTGCTTCCCCCTTTGGGCAGTTATGGATAAAACTCCTATAAACATTAATGTGCAGATTTTTGTGTTGACCTCAGTTTCCCATGCCTTTGGTTAAATGCCAAGACACAATTACTGGATCTTATGGTGACAGTATACTTAGTTTTGTGAGAAAGCACTTCCCTTCCAAAGTGGCTGTATGGGGCTGTATGGGAAATATTTGAATTAACATCCAAATCACACAGTCTTTTTGTTACACTTTAAGCATTAAGTGATTCGTTGTCATAGTTACCTTAGGAGTTAATTGCTTCTGAGGAGTTGACAAGGGCTCTCAGTTATGTGGTGCATATTAAGATAGGTTATATTAATGAATAAACAATGCATGAACTATGAAATGTGAGACCATGCAGAGTATATTATTAACAAATAAATAATGATTACGTACTATGTATTTATCTTTTGACAGAGGTGCACAACAAAAACAAATGTTGACTTGAAAATTTTCAAGAACATCAAGTCTCAAAATTAAATATAAATTTTATCTTTCCATGTAAGTGATAGACTAATGAATCTACAGATTTGCAAGTTTATAAGCTGAAGTGAATGAGTGCCTCCTTCTGAAAATTATTATTGGGCTTATGACTTTAGAAGTGCATGCATTTCGCCCCGGTTGGCCTAAGCTGGCAGTTTCCTCCAAGTGGGCATGTTAGGAATACCAAATGTCACGAACAGACTGCAAAGAGAGAGAGGAAGGGAACATTTAGCTTCTGACAGCTGAACACAAGAAAAGGGTCCAACCAAATTTCCTGGAAAAGCTGAGAGCTGGAGGTTACAAGCATCAGCTGACCAATGCCCAACTTCTCTTGTTTATTTTAATTCCTCTGTTTTAATAGACAATATTTCATTTTGACATGTTAAGGAACATTTCTGTGTCTCTGTTCTGGCCCCTGATGTTACCTTTGGGGACTAGGGAGAAGAGAGAGGCAGCAATTAATATATTTATAAGAACATATTTTTGAATAAGAAGAATATGCATGAATTAATATTTATTAATACATTTTTACTAATCAAAATATATTCACAAGAAAGTATTTGTATTTAAGAATACTAACTTAATATATATGTGAAATATGCTATTCAGGAGTACATTCTTAAATCCCATGTTCTTTGTGCCACATGTATCCACTGATCTCTATGGAAGATTCATAAAAATGATATGAAATATAACCAAATTGCTGAAAACCACAGACAAGAAAAATCTTGAAGGCAGCTAGAGGAAAAATTAAGTATTTACATCAAGCATTTATCAATGAGAAGAATATATTCATCAGAAGAATTGTATTAGTCTGTTCTCACACTGCTAATAAAGGCATACCCGAGGCTGGGTAATTTCTAAAAGGGACGTTTAATTGACTCACAGTTCACCTTGGCTGGGGAGGCCTCAGGAAACTTAAAATCATGGCAGAAGTGGAAGCAAATATGTCCTTCTTCACATGATGGCAGGAAGGAGAAGTGCTGAGCAAACGGGCAAAAAGACTCTTATAAAACCATCAGTTCTCGTGAGAACTCACTCACCATTATGAGAACATGATTCAATTACCTCCCACTGGGTCCTTCCCACGACACATGGGGATTATGAAAACTACAAGTTAAGATGAGATTTGGGTGGGGACACAGCCAAATCGTATCAAGAATATATTTTAAAAATAAATCATTTTATTCAAGAATAAACTCATATAAATATGTTCATCTTTTGCACCACCAGTTTTTCCTTTTCTCTTTTAGTTTCCATCTGTCAAAGCAGAAAGCCAGGTCAGAGATAGACCAAACATCCTACATTTGCTGTGACTATGACACATGAAAATTAGTCAACCTTAAATAGGTAACAGAAACAAATTTAACAGAATAGTCATCAGCAAATTGGCCACTCAGCAAAGTGGCTTTGTCAGTGGACCTGGCCAAGAGAGCTAGGACCTGCTGCCACAGAAACTGCCTTGGTCAGGTGAAACAACCCCAAAGCAGAAAATGCAGGTAGAAAATCAGGACTGAAGCAATTACACATGTTGTAATTGACTTTCCATCTGCAGGGGATAATGCAATGAAACCCGCCACCTTTCCACAGGCTAACTCTGAGAGGAATTTAAAAAAAGTCAGGTACAGGTTGATTTGGGCTCATGAATACTCTTTCATCATTCAACTTTTGATGTTCAAAAGTGTATGTTATTATATGTGTGCGCATGTGAAATGAAAGAGAAAGGAGCTTGGACACATGAAAACTAAGGAAAGACTAAAAAAACCCTAATAAAGGTTTTACTAATAAAGAATAACAGAAAAAACAGTAATACTAATTTCACTTGCTTCATATATCACTTTTCTGTGCCCTCAGGAAGTACAGTTTACCACTTTGGGAAGTTGAGGAGGGAGCATTTTTCAGACCAGGAGTTTGAGACCAGCCTAGGCATCATATTGATGTCTCTTCTAAAACCACTACTAATGCAATAAAATGTATTCTCATTAAAAATTACATCTGCAGAGAATAAAACAGGAAAAAACTGCTGTCTTTTCACATTCATTTGTTTATCTCCTGATTTGATTCATCTTGCCATTGTATGTTGCATATAAGTTGTAATAAACTAAAATTTAGTATATTGTGGTACATATACACCGTGGAATACTGGAATACTATACAACTATAAAAAAGAATGAGATCATGTTCTTTTCAGGAACATGATGAAGCTGGAGGCATTATCCTTAACAAACACACACAGGAACTGAAAACCAAATACCACATGTTCTCACCTACAAGTGGGAGTTAAACAATGAGAACACATGGATACATAGAGGAGAATGACACACACTGGGGCCTACCTGAGAGTGGAGGGTGGGAGGAGGGAGAGGGGTACAAAAAAATAACTATTGGGTACTAGGCTTAATACCTGAGTGACGAAATAATCTGTACAACAAACCTCTATGACACGAGTTTACCTATATAACAAACCTGCACAGGTAACCCAAACTTAAAAGTTTTATATATATATATATATATAGAGTCACATTTTGGACAGACATTTACATATAGAGAATGCATGAATACATACATCAATAGATCACAGGTTGTTATTAATGCAAATATGCATTTAAAAATAGGATTTCTAGCACTTTGGGAGGCCAAGGCGGGCGGATCACGAGATCAAAGGATCGAAACCATCCTGTCTAACACAGTGAAACCCCGTATCTATAAAAATATTTAAAAAAAAAAAAATAGCCAGGGGTGGTGCTGGGCGCCTGTAGTCCCAGCTATTCAGGAGGCTGAGGCAGAAGAATTGCTTGAACCCAGGAGGCAGAGGTTGCAGTGAGCTGAGACTGCGCCACTGCACTCCAGCCTGGGCAACAGAGCAAGACTCCATCTCAAAAAATATATACATATATATAAATATATATTATATATATTTATATATATATTATATATAATTTTATATATATATAAAATTATATATATAGGATTTCTGGGCATTTTTGGTTGTTGTTTTGTCTATTTTGCTTTTATCAATCTGTTGACACTAGGAGGAAGGCTTACTTTTTTATAGTAGGTATATATTTCACACCATAGTCTTAGGTCTTATGACATAGTTAAAGGAAAAATCATATAAGAACTCAGAGATGTAAAATAGAGTCATTTATGATGGTTTTGGGAACCTATAGTGATACATCTATGTTAATTTTTAATGTTAATTTAATTTAGGTTTTCTGCTTTTGGAACTGTGTACAGGTAAGATGCTATAAGCCACCGTATAGCAAAATTTAAATGAAAACTACCATTACACTTATTTAGCTCCAAATAATTTTAGTATCTATTACTGGGTTTCTACTAGAAAGATAAACAGCTCACTCTAATTGTTAATGAAGTAAAGCTGTCCCAGTCAAATCTTGCATTGCTCTGACACCTGTTTTGCTAAAGAAGAAGGAGAGGCAATTTGCTGTATTTCCCGCTGGCTTCCTGGAGGAAACAGAACACATTTGGAGAATGTTTGTTAATTGTGACACGTGTCCAGTGACCCCTGATGAAGAACTCTTAAAGTGATATGGAATGTGTTCAAATTGCTGAAAACCAGAGACAAAGAGAAATTAACACAAAAACTGAAAACCTCTCATTTTTCTCAAAAGAGAAAAATCTTGAAGGAAGCTAGAGGAAAAAAGACATTACCCAACAAGAAACAAGGTTAAGGGCCGGGCGCGGTGGCTCAAGCCTGTAATCCCAGCACTTTGGGAGGTCGAGACGGGCGGATCACGAGGTCAGGAGATCGAGACCATCCTGGCTGACACGGTGAAACCCCATCTCTACTTTAAAAATACAAAAAACTAGCCGGGCGAGGTGGCGGCGCCTGTAGTCCCAGCTACTCGGGAGGCTGAGGCAGGAGAATGGCATGAACCCGGAAGGCGGAGCTTGCAGTGAGCTGAGATCCGGCCACTGCACTCCAGCCTGGGCGGCAGAGCCAGACTCCGTCTCAAAAAAAAAAAAAAAAAAAAAAGAAACAAGGTTAAGAATGGGAGCTGACTTCATATCAGAAACCATGCAAGCAAGAAATGAAGTAACACTTTTGAAATCATAAAAGAGTTTTAAAAACCTATCAACCCAGAATTTGATAACCAATGAAAAATTCTTTAAAATATTTGTTAATTACTGTGGTGATTTTGAATTATGGCGAAGTTGAATACCCCTCATGTGACTTGCAAGTTAGTCGTGTTTTTGTAGTTTTCGTTTTTGTTTTAGAGACAAGGTCTTGCTCTATCACCCAGGCTGAAGTGCATTGGCACAATCACAGCTCACTGCAACCCCAACATCCCAGACTCAAGTCATCCTTCCACCTCAGCTTCCCACATTGCTGAGACTACAGGTGCACTCCACCACACCTGGCTAATTTTTGTAATTTTCATAGAGGTGGGGTTTCACCATGTTGCCCAGGCTGGTTTTGAACTTCTGGGCTCTAGCAATCTGCCCACCTTGGTCTCTCAAAGTCCTGGAATTAGAGACATGAGCCACTGTGCCCAGTCTTGCAGGCTGGTCTTAATGACTGACTTTTAAGAAATGGAATATGGAAAAGTAAAAACTGTAATTTTGTAGTGGAGGAAACCAAGTCACCAACATAGCCAAGTAATCAAGGTTAACATCAACAATGAAAAGTCATATGGCTACCTCACACCACCATGACACAATGGGAAGGTCACTTCAATTATGCGAAATTCTTCCTCAAAATTTACAACCCCACTTTAATCAAGAGAAAACATCAGATTAACCCAAATCATTGATGAACATTCTAAAAGATATCTGGTCAGCGGTCTTCAAAGTGACAAAGCCAGGGAAGACAGAGAGATTGTCCCTGATTGAAGTAGACTAAGGAGACATGAAGACTAAACACAATATGAGATCCTGGATGGTACCTGGGAACAAAGAGAAGACATTAGTTTAAAAAAAAAAAAAAAAAAAAAAAAAAAAAAACTGGCGAAATGTGGGCCAGGCGCAGTGGCTCACTCCTATAGTCCCATCACTTTGGGAGGCCAAGGCAGGTAGATCGCCTGAGGTCAGGAGTCTGAGACCAGCCTGGCCAACGTAGCGAAATCCAGTCTCTACTAAAAATACAAAAATTAGCTGGACGTGGTGTTGGGCACCTACTATCCCAGCTACTCAGGTGGCTGAGGCATGAGAATCACTTGAAACAAGGAGGTTGAGGTAGACGTGAGCCAAGATCGCACCGCAGCCTGGGCATCAGAGCGAGACTTCCTCTCAAAAATGAAAAACTGCTTAAATATAGCCTGTCATTTAGGTAATGGTATTGTACAATGCTAATTTCTTATTTTTAATAAACGTGCCATGGCAATGTAAGAGGTTAACATCAGAAGAAACTGAGTCAAGGGTGTGTAGAAACTGTCTTTACCATCTTTGCAACTCTATGTAAATCCAAAATTATTCCAGAGAATGACTTCACAAGGTGGCAAAATAGAATTTCTCCAGCTCCACACCCCCACACGGAAAACCAACTAGCAACTATCCACAGGCAAGAATACCTTTCTGAATATCCCAGAACTCAGGAGTGAGACAGACACCCAATTGTACTGCAGAACTAAGAAAAGCTGTGCTTGAAGGGTAAGAAACAGTTCATTTTGAGCATGCTACCCCTCCACCAAGCTGACACAGCATGACGCACAGAGGATTTCACTGGACCCACAATTTCCACAGTGGGAAAAGTAAGTTGGAGGTGTACATTCAGCTTTCCCACCATTCTAGAACCCTTCACAGGAGGCTCACACTTGTCTTATACCACAGGAAACATTAGGAGTACCATCAGGGCTAGATCACCTAGGGTCAGCTAGAAATAAAGAATAGGAGTTGATCTCACAGAGACCAGCATGTAGCTGCTCTGCATTCTGGCTAACTGAGGAATCATATGAGCGAAACTAGCCAACAGCATTGTACCACAGGAAGTACAGTTCACAGGTCTACCCAGCTCGAATCCCTTGCCAGCTTTCTTATGTAGACTAGACCTGGTGCTTTCTAGAGCATTGCCCAGGCTAGAAGGCAAGTGAAAGTCAGCACTTATCTGCAGAGGGTACATCTGGCCCCACCCAGCACCAGCAGCTGACCAGGCACTCCACTAAGCCTTGGTGCTTTGTTTAAGCCTACCCTAGGCCAGGAGACAAGATCAAGTCCACCCATATGTTTGGGGCATAATGGCTTCTAGCCCTGATCACCCTGTGTAGCTGAGCACCACCACCAGAATCTTTAGTTGACATAGAGCTCAGCACAGAGGCCTGCTCAACTATAGATTCAAAACAATACCGTCCAGCCAGTGGAGACAGCCTACAATCCTAACTAATCAAGAGTGAATTGCAGAGTCCAGTTAGCAGTACCGTTCAACCTTAGGGCTCAGGAAGTCACACAGGCCAACTAGAGAACCTGACACCAAGGTCTCCCTGTCCAGGGTCATTGCCAGCTAATGCATCCATAATTCCTTCCTGCGAAGTAGTAAAGATCTGTCAAAGCCTGGAAGAGGTGGCTGTGTCCTCAAACACAGAGGCATCAATGCACAAACAGGAGGTATTATAAAAAATCAGGGAAATATGACACCACTAAAAGAAAATAATAAAGATCCAATAATAGATCTGGAACATAAGGTGATCTATAAAATGACTGACAGAGTTCAGGATAACCCCCTTAAAGAAGTTCAGGGAACTCCAATTAAATAAAATTAAATTTGAAACTAATTCATGAACAAAATGAGAATTTGAGAAAGAACTAGAGATGATAAATAGAAACCAAATAGAAATCTGAGACATAAAGAATATAATAATTTAACTGAAAAATTCAATGGAAAGCTTCAACAGCAGACTTGATCAAGCAAAATAATCAATGAATTCAAAGATAGATAACTAGCAATTATCCAGTCTGAAGAGCAAAAAGAAAAAGAATAAAGAAGGCCTACAGGAATTATGAGATACCGTCAAGCAAACTAATATTCACATAATAGGAGATTCAGAACAAGATAAAGAAGGCCCAAAAAGCATATTTAGGAAAATGGCTGAACATTTCCCAAATCTGGGGAAAGATGACAACATCTAAATACAGGAAGCTCAGAAGTCTCCAACCAAATTCAACTCAAAAAGGAATTCCCCAAGATAAAACATAATCAATTTATCAAAAATCAAAGACAAAGAAACAAGATTGAAAGCAAGAGATAAGAAACATATCACATTCAAGGGAACCACAATATGACTTTCAGCTGACTTCTTAGCAGAAACTCTGCAGGCCAAGAGAGATTGGGGTGATATATTCAAAGTGCTGAAGAAAAAGAACTGCCAACCAGGAATTTTTTACTTGGCAAAGGTGTCCTTAAAAAATAAAGAGAGAATTGGCTGGGCGCAGTGGCTCAGGCCTATAATCCCAGCACTTCAGGAGGCCTAGGCGGGCGGATCACGAAGTCAGGAGATTAAGACCATTCTGGTCAACATAGTGAAACCCCGTCTCTACTAAAACTACAAAAATTAGCTGGGCGTGATGGCGTGCACCTGTATTCCCAGCTACTGGAGAGCCTGAGGCAGGAGAATCGCTTGAACTCAGGAGGGAGAGGTTGCAGTGAGCCGAGATCACGCCACTGCACTCCAGCCCGGCGACAGAGCAAGACTCCATCTCAAAAAAAAAAAAAAAAGACGAAAACCGAAATGAGAGAATTCCAACTTCCCCAGATAAACAAATCCTAAGGGAGTCATCCTGCTAGGGATAACATTATCCCTGCTATAGAATGGCTAAAGGCAGTTCTTTAAGCTGAAATGGAAGGTTTCTACTTAATAACAACGACGAAAAAACGCAAGTAAAAAACTCAGTGGTATTAAGTAACACAATCAAACTGAGATTCTCTAACACTGTATGGGTGACACGTAAAGCAATCATATCTTTACTGTGATGATTAAAAGACAAAACTATTAAAAGAAATTGTAGCTGCAATTGCTAAAGAATACAAATTACAAAAACAAATTAAAAATTTTACATCAAAATTATAAAAGAGGGGAGTGAAAGTGTGAGATTAAAGTTCAATTATTATCAGCTTAATGTAGCCTGTTATAACGCTCAGTTATTTTATGCAACCTTCATTGTAACCACAAAGCCAAAAGAAAATAGCAAGAGAGGAATAAACAGGGACTTACAAAAAATCAGAAAACGAATGACAAAACAGCAGTAGCAAGTCCTTACCTATCAGTAATTACCTTGAATGCAAACAGATTAAATTATTCAACCAAGAGACACAGGACAGCTGAATAATTTTTTTTTAAAGAACCACATGCTGCCTACAAGAGACTCACTCACTCACTCTACTAGTGACACATACAGACTTAAACTGAAGGTATGAAAAAAGATACTCAATACGAATAGACACCAACAGAGACCAGGAGTATATATACTTTTATCAGTCAAAATTGTCTTTAAATCAAAAACTGTAAAAAGAGACAAGGTCATCAAATAATGAGAAAGGAGTCAATTCACCAAGAAGACATAAAAATTGTAATTATATATGCACCCAACATCAGAGAACCTAAATACATAAAGCAATTATTAAAAATGACATGGAGAAGTGACAATACTACAGTATGGAAACTCAACACCCCACTTTCAAAAATGTCCATACTACCCAAAATGATCTACAGTGTCAATGTAATCCCTATCAAAATTCCAATGTCATTTTTCACAGAAATAAGAAATATTCTTAAATTTGCGTGGAATCACAAAAGATCCTAAAGAGTCAAAACGATCTTGGGCAAAAAGAAAAAGGCTGGTGTCATTACACTCCCTAATTTCAAAATATAAAGTTATTCTAATGAAAATAGTATGCCACTGGCATAAAAAACTTACTGATGAAACAGCGTAAAAGCCCAGAGATCAACCCATGCTTGTATGATCAATTAATTTTTGACCAAGGTGCCAAGAACACACATTGGAGAAAGCACTGTATCGTCAATAGTGTGGGGCAAAATTAGCTATCCACATGAAGGAGAACGAAATTGAATGCATATTGTGTCTATAAGTGGTGGGTTCTTGGTCTTGGCTGACTTCAAGAACGAAGTCACAGACCCTCGAGGTGAATGCTACAGTTCTTAAAGATGGTGTGTGGGGAGTTCGTACCTTCTGAAGTTCAGACGTGCCCGGAGTTTCTTCTTACTGGTGGGTTCGTAGTCTCGCTGATTTCAGGAGTGAAGCTGCAGACCATCCCGGTGACTGTTACATCTCTCAAAAGGCAGCATGGTCTGGAGTTGTTCCTTCCTCTCGGTGGGTTCCTGGTCTTGCTGGCCTCAGGAGTGAAACTGCAGATCTTCCCACTGAGTGTTACAGCTCTTAAGGGCAGCGCAACTGAAGTCGTTCCCTCTTCCCGGTGGGTTTCTCCTGTAGCTGACTTCACGAGTGAAAAGGCAGGCCTTCACAGTAAGCATTAAAGCGAATAGAAACACTGCAGACCCAGAGAATGAGCAACAGCAAGATTTACTGCAAACAACTACAGAAAACACCTTCCACAACGCGGACGAAGAACCAAGCAGAGTGCAGCTCCTGACACAGGTGGCCTGCTTTTATTCCCTTATCTGGCCCCACCCACATCCTGCTGATTGGTCCATTTTACAGAGAGCTGATTGGTCCGTTTTACAGAGTGCTGATAGGTCCGTTTTGACAGAGCGCTGATTGGTGTGTTTACACACCTTTAGCTAGACTAGAGTGCTGATTGGTGCGTTTACAATCCTTTAGCTAGACAGAAAACTTCTCCCAGTCCCCACCCCTCCCAGAAACCCAGCCAGCTTCACCTCTCACTGGCATTTGCTGTGGGACTTCGCTGGCACCTAGCCCTCCCACTCTGGCAGGCCAGAGAGAGCTCCTCCCAGACAACCAAGAGAAAAAGAGGGGAAGCGACAAAGAGGGAGACTCACCATCGTGGCCAACAACCCGACCTAGGGGGAACTGCGGTCCACGCACAGGACTCAGCCTCCCATTAAGCCCAGCAGGCGCTGGCTGGCTGCGCCTAGTGCCGAGGAGCACGCGGGCAACCGCGGCTCCTGCCCGCTCCGCTCCCTCCACACCTCCCCGCCAGCAGAGACAGGAAGCCGGTCCTGGCCTCGGCCAGCCCCAGAGAGGGAGCCCCCACAGTGCAGCGGCGGGCTGAAGGGCTCCTGGAGCGCAGCCAGAGAGGACGCCTAGGCCGAGGCGGCGCCGAGAGCGAGGGAAGACTGCTAGCACGTTGTCACCTGTCAATATTTTATACCACATACAAAAATCAACCCAAATGGATTAAAAATCTAAACATAATATCTGAAACTGTGAAACTACTCAAAGAAAACAGAGAAAAATCCTCACAACATTCCCTGAGGATTTGGATATGACCAAAAAGCACAGGCAATAAAAGCAAAAAGGACAGAAATAAGGCATCAAACTAAAACGCTCCTTCAGAGTAAACCATTAACAAAGTGAAGGGACAGCCCCACAGAACGGGAAAAAATATTTGCAGACTATACAGCTAATAGAGGGCCAATATCTGAAACATAAGAAACTCAAACAGCACAGATATCATCAGTCTAAATTGGTGAGCCCTTTCAATCTGTAGCTTCTTTTTTTTTGTTTGTTTTTTTGGTTTTTTTGGGGGGGGGGGCTCTAAGTTCTGGAATACATATGTAGAACGTGCCGGTTTGTTACATAGGTATACATGTGCCATGGTGGTTTGCTGCACCTATCAACCCGTTGTCCATCATTTAGGTTTTTTGTTTTTGTTTTTGTTTTTTGAGGCGGAGTCTCTCTCTGTTGCCCAGGCTGGAGTGCAGTGGTCAGATCTCTGCTCAGCGCAAGCTCAGCCTCCCAGGTTCACGCCATTCTCCTGCCTCAGCCTCCAGAGTAGCTGGGACTACAGGTGCACCACAGGCGCCCACCACCACGCCCGGCTAATTTTTTGTATCTTTAGTAGAGACAGCGTTTCACCCTGTTAGCCAGGATGGTTTCCATCTCCTGACCTTGTGGTCCACCCACCTCAGCCTCCCAAAGTGCGGGGATTACAGGCATGAGCCACCATGCCCGCCCTGTCATCTAGCTTTTAAGCCCCACAGGCATTAGGTATTTCTCCTAATGCTCTCCCTCCCCTTGCCCCCTAACCCCATGACAGGCACCGGTGTGTGATGTTCCCCTCCCTGTGTCCATGCGTTTTCATTGTTCAGGTCTCACTTACTAGTGAGAACATGTAGTGTTTGATTTTCTGTTCCTGTGTTAGTTTGCTGAGAATGATGACTTCTAGCTTCATCTATGTCCCTGCAAAGAACACGAACTCATTCTTTTTTATGGCCGCATAGTATTTTATGGTGTATATGTCCCACATTTTCTTTATCCAGCCTATCATTGATGGGCATTTGGGGTGGTTCCAAGTCTTTGCTATTGTAAATAGTGTTGCAATAAACATACATGTGCATGTGTCTTTATAGTAAAATGTAATGAAAAGAAAACAATAAAAACAACTGGGAGAACTAATAGTTGGCATTTTCTTACTAATTTATGCCTCAGTGGGACAATATTTTATCAACTGTTAGCATGGAAAAACAAATATACTTTGTTTTTGACAGGAAAAAAAAAAAGAAAAAACATTAAGCGTCTCTATTAGGCAAGAAAGGGATAGGAAAAGCATGATTTGGGTAAAGCTAAGTAGTGAAGTAAATGTCCAGTGATAGCCTAAGAAGCTGAGGACAATTTTCACTTGCATCACAATTTTTAGTAGAGTTGCTTAGTCACTTTATTTTATTATTATTATTATTTTTTGAGATGGAGTCTTGCTCTGTCACCCAGGCTGGAGTGCAGAGGCGCAATCTCGGCTCACTGCAAGCTCCGCCTCCCAGGTAGAGGTCATTCTCCTGCCTCACCCTCCCGAGTAGCTGGGATTACAGGTGCCCGCCACCACGCCTGGCTAATTTTTTGTATTTTTAGTAGAGATGGGGTTTCACCGTGTTAGCCAGGATGGTCTCGACCTCCTGACCTCATGATCCACCCATCTCGGCCTCCCAAAGTGCTGGGATTACAGGCTTTAGCCACCACACCTGGCCTACCTTAGTCACTTTAAAAACAGATTTAATATATTTTTTCTCTTAAAAAATCTACAACAAGAAATCTAGAAACCAATCAAATTTCTATCATTTCAAGCCATAGTTCTTTCAATTGTTTCAGGTTATGGAGGCATTTGCCCATAAAATATTTTGCTTGATAATGTTTTCCAATAAGGGAAATAATTTCTGCTCTCATCAACAACAAAATGTCTGGAAGAAAAAGGATACACTAAGGAATAGAAAGTTGGCTGAAGAGCCTCTCTATGTAAAGGAATGAAAGGTGTTTCAAAAAGTTACTAACAATAAGCACAAAAACAATTAAACATTAAATATAGAAACAAAAAAGAAACATTTCATGATTTTCTGTAGCTCTTATTGGCAATTAAAAATCAGAAAACAAAAGCAGCAGGGGGAATGCAAGAATAAATGAAGTGCAGAGAAACGGCAAACATGAGTAAATAGTAATGAAAGCTTTTAAAAACTACGATAATAATAATATCTTGTAGAAATACAATATGCAATAAAAAAAGTGTATTACTACAATGGCACAAGGGTGAGAGACAGACAAATACATGGAAATAAACTTGTAAGGATCTTGCATTCTTTGGGAAGTGGCCAAAGTACTAATAACTTAAGAGGACATATTGTGATATTGAGGGAAATGACTAAAAGTTTCATTACAGCTTCAAAGCTAATACAGGAGATTCATAGCCAACAATTGGAGATTACCCAAAAACTCGTCAATAAAAGAATGGATAAACAAATCCCATGTTCATATAATGGAAGAGTACATAACAATGGAAAGGAATGAACTAAAAATATCTACCAAAAATTGGAGGAATATCAAAACATTTTGCTAAGGGAAATGAGTCAGACACAAGATGACATACTGTATGATTTCATTTAATATGTTCAAGAAGAGGCAAAACTAGCCAATGGTGATAAGAGATTGTTTTGGAAAGGACACAGGAAACTTCCTAGGTAATGGAAATATTCTATATGTTGATCTGAATGAGGGTAAAGAGAGAGAAGGAGGAAGAGAGAAAGAGAGAGTCATTGATGAATACTGAAGATCTGAGCTAAGAGTCCTTAATGGATATACAAATATTAAAAGGAGCCTTCTTAAATTGTACCACACACTTTAACCTGGATTCATAAAGCATCAAAAGTAGAAGGGATATAGGGGATCATTTATTCAAATCTCCTCAATTTTACAGATGAAAAAACAGAAGAACAGATGCTGTATTAGTCTGTTCTCACACTTCTATAAAGAACTGCCTGAGACTAATTTTTTTTTAGATGGAGTCTCATTCTGTAGCCACGTTGGAGTGCAGTGGTGCAATCTTGGCTCACTGCAACCTCTGCTTTCCTGGTTCAAGCAATTCTCCTGCCTCAGCTTCCTGAGTAGCTGGGACTGCAGGTGCACGTCACCACACCCAGCTAATTTTTGTATTTTTAGTAGAGTCAGGTTTTCACCATGTTGGCCAGGATGGTCTCAATCTCTTGATCTCCTGATCCACCCACCTCAGCCTCCCAAAGTGCTGGGATTACAGGTGTGAGCCACTGCGCCCAGTGAGACTGGGTAATTTATGAAGAAAAGAGGTTTACTTGATTCACAGTTCGACAGACTGTACAGGAAGCATAACTAGGAGGCCTCAGGAAACTTACAGTCATGGTAGAAGGCGAAGGGGAAGCAAGCATGTCTTACCATACCAAAGCAGGAGAGAAAGAGTGAAGAGGGAAGTGCCATACATTTTTAAAACATCAGATCTCATGATAACTCACTCATTATCATGAGAACAGCAAGAGGGAATCTGCTCCCATGATCCAATCACCTCCCACCAGGTCCCACTTCAACATGAGATTTGGTTGGCAACATAGAGCCAAACTATATGCCACCCCTAGTCCCTGCCAAATCTCATGTCCTTCTCACACTTCAAAACACTATCATGCCTTCCCAACAGTCCTCCAAAGTCTTAATTCCTTCCAGTATTAACTCAAAAGTCCAAGTCCAAAATGTCATCTGGAACAAGGCAAGTCCTTTCTGCCTATGAGCCTATAAAACCAAAAACAAATTGGTTACTTCCAAGATATAATAAAGGTAAAGACATTGTGTAAATATTCCCATTCCAAATGAGAGAAATTGGCCAAAACAAAGGGGCTACAGGTCCCATGCTAGTCTGAAATCCAGCAGGGGAGTCATTACATTTTAAAGCTTCAAAATAATCTCCTTTGACTTCAGGTCTCACATCCAGGATACACTAATGCAATGGGTGGCCTCTCAAGGCCTTGGGCAGTTCTACCTCTGTAGCTTTGCAGCATACAGCCCACATGGCTGCTTTTACAGGCTGGAATTGTGTGCCTGTGGCTTTTCCAAGCACATGGTGCAAACTGTCAGCAGATCTACCATTCTGGGATATGGAGGACAGAGGCCCTCTTCTAATAGCTTCACTAGGCAGTGCCCCAGTGGGGACTCTGTGTGGGGACTCCC